TTGTATGCTTATAATCAACTAACTCTAGAAATCTAAGTTTCTCGTTTTTTGTAACATGAGATGCTTCTTTGCTGTTATTCCATTCATTTGACATTATTACTGTTGGCTGGGTTCACTTCCATGTGGAGGAAGCCCAGTGAATTGCAAGCCCCAAGACTTGAGCCCATATGTATATTCATACGGAGAAATAGGTTTTTCACTATTATTATGTCGTGGCCGCAAAAAGAACGTTTTGGAGAGATACAGTAACAAGAGAGAAAGAAAGAGAAGAAAATTTGGGTTTAAAGATACATAAGATGTTGACGTCGGCAGTCGATTCGTGGTCCGATTGAGCTGAAATTTTGTCAGCGTGTTAATGCCGCATTCTTTTCGAATATGATCGGTTTGATTTTCAGTTGAAGCTCCCTACATCAGGCTTCCATGGGTTGCACCAAAAGTGCATTTTTTTGTGAGATTTTTCCTTTTATCTCTTCTGAAGTTCATGTCTATTGCCAAGAACGATGTTCTTAATGTCTTTGCTACTATGTACCTCTAGTATTTACTAGAGAAGAACTTTGTTCACCCAGTTTTGCTGATAGTGAAGATTTTTGGGTGGACTCCGGTCTTGTGGTTTTTGATCTCCTCACACCGAGGAGGTTTTCCACGTAAAAAATCGTCTTGTGTTTGCGTGGTTGGTATTTATATTCCTCGATTCAGTCGTTTCCTATTAGGTTTGCACAAGAGGGTAGATTATTTTGTTCCGTTGTGTTAATCCGATATTGTTCGAATTGTCATTGTTCTCCCAACAATTACAATCCTTGATATGACAATGTGGTGATGAAGTAAGCATATTAATATCGTATAAATGTGATTGCAAAAACCATCCTCAGTTTTGCTTTTCATATCAAATACCTTCTCACATTTCAAAATCTATATCGCAAATCTCCCAACCTAAATTGACCTATTTGCCCTTATGCACGCTTGAGATCTACACCCAAAAGTGAAATCCAACATTGAGGATGGGGTAATTCAAGAAATATGTGTGGGTGGGAGATGCAACTTGAAATCCCAAAAAAAAAATGAGAATGATAATTATAGGTTTTGAAATGTGAGAATGGGGTGGGTGTTTGATATGAGGAGCAACATTTAGGATGATATCTATAATTTTCCTTGCCATATATTACAAACTAACTCCGAGAAGAATATTTTTGATGCAGGTGCTGGTTGACAAGTTCTCTGGACGCTCTCGTGGATTTGGTTTTGTAACTTTTGATGAGAAGCAAGCAATGGATGAGGCTAGTGAGGTTATGAATGAATTGAACTTGGATGGGAGAAATATCATTGTGGAAAAAGCTCAGCCTCAAAGTTCAGGTAGAGACCAAGATTGTGATTGCAGTTGTGACCGTGGTAGTGATCGAGGCCCTAATCGGGACTATGGCGGTGGACGTGGAGGTGGAGATGGAGAGTGATTTAAGTGTGGCCAGCCTGGGCATTTTGCAAGGGAGTGTCCTAGTGAAGGGGGCAGGGGAGGTAGGTATGGGGGGACGGATGACAGGTAAGGAGGTGGAGGAGGTGGTGGTGGTGGGCGCTATGTTCCTGATCTAAACGGTGATCAATCTGGCGGGCGCAACAGGGATAGTGGTACTCAAGGAAAATCAGGAAATGACTGCTATAATCGGGACTGTTCTGGTCTCTATGAAGGTCATGGTACAGGAAACTTCCGTTTGGGGTAGAAAGAATACTCCTAACAGGTATGCACACAATTGTTTCCAGTTATAGTAAAGCAGTAGATTCTGTGCTGATTGAAAAATATTTTGTGCTTGTAGCAAGCAATTGGAGGTACTGCTGTTACTTACTGGAGGTGTCAAAGTCTCTTCTGTTGCATCTCTTCTCCATGGTTCTCCCGGTGGATAAATCTGCTTGATCAGTCTGTTGATGTGCGAACTCTGGCTGAAAGATTCAACTGTATAATGTCCGTGAATGCTCGTTTTGATGTTTTGGTCTGATGACATTGCTTGCTTGACTTCAACAATCAAATTTGGCCTTACTCTTTCAATGCTATGATGGGTTTTGGATTCTCTTTCTCTTACATGCTTTAGCAATTGCAAATGCATCTGAGATCGATCTTGGTTGACTTCTTCATTGGCATTTGCAACTGCGGAATCTGGACAGCTTTATGGTGTCTAGATGGCTTTTTTGAGGATAGGGCGAGAAATTCACCTGTGGAAGTAATGCCTTTTCTCTTTGCAAAAGAGAAGCTGCCTCAGAAATGAATGCCCGTTTTGGCTACAATTTTTCATAGGTGTAACTTTTTGAAGAGGAGTTGAGCGGATAAACTCTCTGTTTTCTTATACATGCTTAGTACGTGAGCTTTCTGTCTATAGTTTGCATTATATTAACTCTGCCAAGTTTTTGGCAGGGTTCTTGGCTGTTTCTGGCGTTTAGAGACAGTCCAGTTACTATCATGTCATAGGACGTGGTTTTAGTCTGAAATGTTCTGAAAAGTCCTTTTGGCCTCAAGAAGCTATTCCTATATGCAATTAACTCAGTAGAATTGCGCTTCACCTTCCACACATTGTACTGATGGAGGAGTTACTTTTTCAGTAAAAGGTGGAGATCTTTTGGAAGCTCTGGGGAGCAAGGCAATTTGATTTGCATCGTCCTCTTCCTGGCGATCTCCTGTCTCTTATCACCATCTTCAGTGGAAGATCGCTGGTCTCTGTGTCCTCCGTGCGCATGGTGCTGCTATCTTGTTAGGTTTCCTGGATAAATTATGTTTCCCTTTCAGGTGTAATGACGGCTCTTCCTATGAATCGGCAATGTTGCTAATAATCACATGTTTCTTTTCGCTTGGGCAGCTGTGCGTTCATTGACTTGCGTTTCTGCATTAATGATCATGTATCTTCCCCTAATTCGTTTAGAAGTTGTGCTTGCTCCATCTGAAATTGATACCCGGTTTGTAACTCCTAGATGTTGCATACTCTTGGCATAAAATCATCTCCTTTTCAGATTTTATCTGTAGTTACTTGGTTAAGGTTATCGTGCATTCTTAACAATGGCTCTGTAAACGGTACACATGGTCGATGTTTCGCACATCTCATAGTCCGAGTAATATTACTATTTCTTGCCCATTGTTCACTTGCAAATCTCATTCACATACCAGGCAGAATCAGACTCAGGGTCCGTCTATGTCGTGGAAAACGCGCCATTTGTGAAAAATATTTTTTAGGACTCTATATTTTGGTGTTTGGCTAAAACCTGAAAAAATCTAGAAAGTATTTTCCGTCGTTTGTTAAGGAAAATCTGATGACAAAAATTATCAAAAAATTCGTACTTTTTAACTATTTTATAAATTTTTTATTTTTCTTTCTTTTTCTTTTTTCTTCTTCCTTGATCGGTTGCCGGCCACTGCAAAGGCTAGCAACCGGCCACAGGCGAGCTCAAGCTCGCCGGCCTTGGGCAAGGTGGAGCCTCGCTCAATCCGGCGAGCTCGAGCCTCGCCAGATCTGCATGCTCGAGACTTGTCGGCCTCAAGCGAGACTCCACCTCGCTAGATCCGGCAAAGATCGAGCTCAAACCTTGCCCAATCGGCGAGCTTCGGGCTCGCTAGAGATTGACAAGCCACTACGACGAGCTCGACCTCACTGGATCGGTGAGGCTCGAGCTCGCCTGGGGCCGATCGGCGGCGGTCGCCATGGCCGGTGACCGGCTAAGGAAGAAGGAAAAAGAAAAAGGAAGGAAAGAAAAGAAAATAAAAAAATTGAAACCGAGCAAGTCTTGCTTCCGTTTCACATTCGATTCCCCCCCTTATCAATTCAAGAAAGATGGCCAGGATTTCGTTCAAGTGAGGTCATCGACTGCGAGATCAGATGTGATCAGATCCGGGTGCGCTGCACGCGGGTCCCTAATTCTTTTAGAAGTTGTGCTTACTCCATCTGAAATTGATATCGGGTTTGCAACTCCTAGATGGGGTATACTCTTGGCATAAGCAAATAACCGGATATGATCATCTCCTTTTCAGATTTTCTCCGTAGTTACTTGGTTAAGGTTTTTGTGCGTTCTTAACTATGGCTCTCTGAATGGTACACATGGTGGTTGTTTCGCACGTCTCATAGTCTGAGTAATATTACTATTTCTTGCCCATTGTTCACTTGCAAGTCTCGTTCACATACCCAGTTGAATCAGACACAGGGTCCGTTTGTTTCGCGGAAAACGGGCCATTTTTTTAAAAACATTACACTTTCCAAAACTTTATTTTCCGGTATTAGGCTAAAACCTGAAAAAGACCCGGAAAGTATTGTATTTTTTAATTACTTTAATTATTTTTATCTTTATAAAATTTTTATTTTATTTTCTTTCTTTCTTTCTTTTTCTTTTCTTTTTTTTTTCTTTTTGCTTCTTCCTTGGTCGGTCGCCGGTGACCGACCACAGAGCCCGCCGGCCTCGGGCAGGGTGGAGCCTCGCTCAATCCGGTGAGATCGAGCCTCGCCGGATCGGCGTGCTCGAGCCTGACCGGTCTCGAGCAAGGCTCCACCTCGCTAGATTCGGTGAGGTCGAGCTCGAGCCTCACCTGATCGGCGAGATTTGGGCTCGCTAGAGGTTGACGAGCCACTGCGACGACCTTTGGCGAGCTAGAAGCTCGCCGTCCTCAACTAAGCTCAACCTCGCCAGCCTTGGGCGAGGTTGGAGCTCGCTTGGGGCCGGCTATCGCCATGGCCGTTGACCGGCTGAGCAAGAAACAAAAAAGAAAAAGGAAGAGAAAATAAAATAAAATAATTAAACAGAGCAAGTCTTGCTTCCGTCCCTACCAATTCAAGAAAGATCGCCAGGATTTCGTTCAAGTGAGGTCATCGACTGCGAAATCAGATGTGATCAGATCCGGGTGCGCTGTACGCGGGTGCCGTTCTTTCTGGGGCAGACGGTTTCCGTCTCTTACACCTCCACATACGACAAGCAGGGACAGCACATCTCATTGGTAAAGTTCTAGGATGTCGCCAGGATGACCACATTCTAGTGACACGATGTCGAGCTTTGACTCTTCCTATATAAAGAAAGCTCCAGACAAAGAGACCCACCACCCCAAATTCGCACGGGACCTACAACAAAGGGAGGCATCTCCGATGGGTGATCTTGGCAACACAGGCGATGATCCTTTGCGTGTATTCGTGTTCATTCGTTCATACGCCTCGCGCTATGATATCGCCTGTGTTTTCAGGTCACCCCTTTGAGATGATCGCGTTTTTTCCCTTCTGCATATCGACGACCGGCCCATCCTGAATCGATCCGACAAGGGCAAATGTGCGTTGCTAAGAGTGGCCGGCTCCGGTGTCTTCTCTGTCTCGTCAAGATCGGGGGGACTCACTTTCAAGGTTCGATACCGTGGCTGAGGTGCTTCGGAAATTCATTTTCGTGGTCGTACTTAGCTTCTTTACCATACATATAATAAGAATCTCTGTGCTGTTTCTTCGTCCCCATTATTTATAGGGAAGTATACTCTAATTAAATATGTAAAACTGCTGAATGTCGTTGAGATTGTCTGTTCCTGTATTGAGCGCACAGACACGAGAACTTCCCCGGCTCCGATATGGAGATCAATGCTCCGCCGCTTCCTCTGGTCACGCCGAGGTACTTTCTTCCTTGCGTGCCCCCAGAAATCCTGAGAGTTGAGATTGAAGTGCTTCTTCAGCGACATTGGCGCTCGCGTTTTGTCGAGTCATTTTAGCTTCGTTAACGATCACCGCAGTAGAGCGCGAGTGAGTGTCATGATAGCCTCTTGGACCAGAGGTGGGTCTAGGAGAAGCAATTCTCTCTAACTCCTCGTCGCAGTGTGGATGATCTTGCACAGGTTAATAGTCAAACTTAACACCGGTGATGCTGGCTTGTGCTATTGGTTCATTGAAATAGGTGAAACTATTTAATTTTTTCATACATGTACCAAATCGAATGTAGACGTTCAGATCCGGTTGAGCTCAATGAGCGGGCCACATGGAACTTATCATTTGTACTGGTCCAGACACAACTTTTACAGAAATATTGGATAGAAACAAAACACGAGTATCGTGATCCAAGAGCGCGTTCGTATGTACATATCGTAAATCTAACATAGTTTATGGAATGAGAAAAAGGTTTTGAGCCTGTCTAAATCGACTTTTGCAATTTGACATATGTCCTGCACTTAAATTTGATGGCGCCCACACTTTTAACTTTTTTCAACCTTGAACATTTGACATTTTGATGACACATATATGTTGACATGTAATGTCACATATGACATATTCACAATTTTTTTTCGAATTTTGGATAACTTTTACATAGGAAACACAAAAAAGTATTTTGTACTTTCGTTTAATGCAAGAAGAAACAAGCTCTTTGTGATGGTAATTAACTAAAAAATCAAACTCAATACAGTTCCAAGATTAGTCAACACTTAACTAGGTGTTTTACCTCCGGTGTCTATTAATAGGTTATTTGGTTAAGAAGAAAAAAAATTCTAGTGCAAAGACACGTTTGGAGTTTTGACCCACCTCGTGAAATCACGAGGACTAGTCTAGACAAGGCCTTTGTGGCTGGCGAGGGTCACAAGAACCAAAAAAAAAAAGGAAAAAGGCAAAAAGAAAAGAAAAATCAAAAAATAAAAGAAAATCAAAATTTTAAATTACAGAAATTGTCAACGTCAACGACAGCAGTCCCACGTAGGATAACCGCGTCTATGTCAGCGATTTCCGATCAAAATTAGTTAGACTGACTCAATTGGCAAATTGCAAGAGTTTAAAATTTTTTGGGCAATTTTTCCACAAGTTTACGGTCTTTTTTTTATGTCGAACACAAGTTGATATTGTGATGCCGTGCAATTTTGTGCCAAAAACTCAAGGTACAAGCGGTGAATATGAATAAATGGCTTCACGTCTGAGATGTGGATAAACTTTGTGACAGTTTTTGTCACGAGTAAATTTACCATAAATATAAGAAACATAGGAAGTCACCGTGAAAATTTCGGGTCGGCGTTCTTAGTGATCACAAGGTTTATTACTATCGAATGCCATCAACGTTGACAAAAATTAGAGGTTAAATTTTTAACCCCTAAACAAAAATATTTTCTATCTAATTGCATGGCATATAGACATTAGGTACATTTGCATTAATATGACTCGTTTGAATATATTTTTCTTTTTTTTAAAAATCAATAAAATTGAACCGGGCTGGGTCGACCCGATCCTCTCTTTTCCCCCCAAGGCCCAACCCCTTTTTTTTCTTTCTTTTCTTCCTCTTTGTGCGAGCTAGGCCCAGCCCGGCCCACTCCTCCTTCCACCCCCCCATGGCCCGGCCTCTCCCCTTCTCTCCCTCTCTCTCCTTGTAGCGTTGGATGCCATTCAGCCGAGGAGCGGCAGTATGGCATTCCATCGAGCAAAATTTACGCGACCAAGAGAGCAGAGTAGAACAGAGGTTGTGCAGCCTAAAGGGAGGGAATAGGTGGTCAGCAACTGGTATAAAAGCCGGAGAAGAGAGAGAGAGAGAGAGAGAGAGAGAGGTCGGCCATTTTTTGCAAAAAAAATAGAGAGAGAAGAGAGAAAAGAGAGAGACGGAGAGCAAATAGAGAGAGTGAGTGAGTACAGGGCAAAAGGGAGTCCTAGGTGACCTCTCCGTCAACCGTTGGCTAGAGTTTGTGGCCATGCCTTTCACGCAAACTCTGACCCATACCGACCTTGCTACCAGTCCAGTCGTCGCCATCGAAGATGAGTCATGGCCAACGGAGCAGGCCTAAGCCCCGAGATAGGTTGGGGATCCTCGATTTCTGTCATGCACACCAACTGCTCGATTAAACGCCTGAATGAGATCAATTTGTTTTGGTCCTTGGCTGGCGATTTAGAGGTCGGCCTGGGAGCTGGGTGGCCAGAGATGGCCTTGTGGTGCCCTTTTGAGGCAGAAGCCAAGCAAAATTTGGCTTGGGTTGACCGGCCAAATCGCGACCAAAGTTTGGTCTCGAGAGGCCCCAGTCGAAGCTCGGCCGGCAACTACCCAGCCGACTAGCCAGGCAGGAACCTCCTCGGCCTGGAGGATGAGGCCGCTGGCCGGGCAAGATGGCCAGCCAGACGCCGGATCTCGATTGGCCTGCAGTCAGGCACGCAAGAACTGGTTCGGACTGGACTTGCAAACCCGGTCGAACCAGTCTGCTAGCCCTAGCCAACTTGGATCAACCCTAACCCGATTTGGATTCGCAGATATGACCCAGCTAGCTAATTTGAGTCAGGTCCACAGATTCGGGTCGGTCTCTACCCAATTCGGATCCGGAGATCCAACCCGGGTTCGTTTATTATATAATATTTATATTTATTATTTTAATATTAAAAATTTAATTTAAAAAATTCTGAAATTTTTTTATTTTTTCTAAAATTAGAAAATAGCTTAAATAGGTAGATTTTGAGTAGTTTTTCTTAAAAGCATGTGAAAATATTTCAAAAAAATCATGTTTAAATTGAACAAGCATTTAAGGCTATACCATAGGATTCTCAATGTCTTAAAAATGAATGCCATGTTGTTATTTGTGCATGTTATTTTGCTTATTATCTGACTGCATGATTTCAATATGTTGAATGTTGTATCCTTAGTTAGGACTAGTACCCTAGACTGCATGCATCCATTGGTTGCCAATTGTTAGTTCAATGATTGTGCACCTGTCTGATCATCTCACATGTTAGTGGATAGGTTCAAAATCAATCTAATCTGCCTGACAAACATTTTCAGAAATCGAACAAGGTTAGGTATCGAAAGGGCATTAGATATGTACACAATGTAGTCAAATCCCCGAACCCATTGAATCTCCGGTTCGTAGGAGAAAGGCGATGCTCCTGTCGCCTTGCTTGGATTTCTAATCGACTTACCTTAAACTGATTAATGGCGATTCCTACATGAAAATGACTTGCATGTTAGGCTGTGTTCGTTTGGCGGAAAATATTTTCCAGGAAAATATTTTCGGGGTTTTCCGGTGTTCGGGGGCGGAAAACATTTTCCCCCGGAAAACATTTTCCCCTCAATGAGGGAAAACATGACCAAATTGGCGGAAAATGATTTCCGCTTCTAAAAAGCGGAAATCATTTTCCGCCAAACTCCTCTTTCCCCCCTCCGGACGCCGCCCGCCGCCGCCGCCCGCCGGACGCCGGCCGCGCGGCCGCTGGCGAAAAATATTTTCCGAAACTTTTTCATATTGGTCGCCGAACACCGGAAAATTATGTTCCGGGAAAATATTTTCCAAAATGAGAATATTTTCCGCCAAACGAACGGAGCCTTAATAACGAAAATTTTAAATTGCGAGTTGGTATGAGCTTGGGAAAGCCTAAGTTAAGTCTTAGGTTTAGACTTAGCAATACATTGGCCTCAAGCCCAGATGCCTAGAGGCCCAGTTCGGGGAGGTTCAACAATCAATTTCCACAAATTTGATATAGTTGGGTATTTACAGCTACAATCTACATGTGCAGCACATTAAATTTTGAAGACCTTTTGATGCCTAGAGAGCATGCCTATTCAATGGTACAATGAGCGCTGAGGGCACCCACAATGTGTTTTCAGATAACCCATGTACAATTGCAATCATTCTTTGCTCATTGGATTTTCTAAGAGAACATGTAAGTGACAGTAAAATCAATTTGATTGACGCATTTGCTTGGCTTATTGTGAAATATGTTTTGGCTATTTATTTGCTCATGATGCATGTTTAATCTATTCACCAGATTGCTTCGCATTGAATTGTTTTTCATTCGACTGGATCAAATAGTGGATATACTTTCAGATTGCACCAACTTGACAAATTTTAAGACTTGATTGTTTTTTTTTTTAAGTTTTAAGACTCAATTATACTTTCGTAATAAGTTTTAAGACTTCCAGTGCACCTATCCCTAAATTATATCACTTTCTCTTATTGGAATTTTTTTAATCCCTTGTTTTCGGTGGAAGTAAGAGCAAACAAAGGTTCGACATATGGAGCAAATCCACGTTCCTACGACTGTTCCTATGGGAGCCGGCTTGGTCGTGCACTGTCAGAACAAGAAGAAGAAGGACCGTTGACTTTACTTGGCTTGAACTCCCCCATTTCTTCAACTAAAAATCATCTGCCGACCGCAACTTGTTGACTTTTGTAATTGCTATATACTGTTCATATTTTTCCTTCCGCTAGTCATCGAGGACTCGGCAATGGCCCGTGAAGTTCGTCAGCTACAGGCAATGATCGTGATGCCCTCGCGCAGATTTAAGCGAGGGTTCTAGATTGCCCTCACCCAAATCAGGCAACGGTATCGTAGCCCTTGCCACGCCGTCACAGGCAATCTCCGAGGCCTTGACGAATGGCGAAGGGAAGAAGATGAACAATAGAAGGAAAGCATAGGACAAAAAAGAAACAAAAGAAGAAAAAATTCAGAAAGTTAAAAAAAGAATTGCAAAAGAATGTCATTTCACTTAAGATCGTTCAATTCAGCCGTCGGTCGTGTCAGATAGAATAGCCGACATTGATTGGAATGCTACATTCGTGATTTCCTGCCTAAATTACGTTTCTTTAGTAGCGATCATGCCGTTGTTCCTTCAATGGATTTATGCAAAATAGAGATTTTGTCGAGAGACAACTCATACTCAACATGTCCCATTATCAAAGGATAATCCTCACTCGTCAGGCTTGGACATGTAACTCGCAAGTTCAAGTAAGGACGCGTGCTGTGTGTCTAATGATTAGCTAATTCCGGTATTATCACTGGGTACTTTTTTGATTCCTTGTTTTCAGTGGAAGTAAGAGCAAACGAGGGTTGGACTTATGAAACAGATCCTCGTTCCTACGACTGTTCCAATGGGAGCCGGCTTACTGTCAGGACAAGACGAAGAAGGACTGTTGAGTTTACTTGGTTTGAACTGCCGCCCTTCTTCAATTAATTATAATTAGCCGACTGCAACATGTTGACTTACCTAATAGCTATATTAAATTGTTAATAATCATAACATAGTAGTGTGGACTTTGTCATTTTTAACTAGTAATTCATCTATAACTATTTAAGATGTGAAATGTAATTTGCATATTGATATTATAGGTTAAAAGCCGGTCCAGCATGGGTGTAAAAAGTGAATTTTTGAACTAAATTCTTCCTCACCATAGTAGAGTTTTTGCTCTCTTTTCAGTATAAGCACAATTTCAACCGCATAAAATGGGACATTACAAATGTATGGCTTTCATTTTAAAAAATTTAATGGAAAACTGTTACAATTTCTTGAATATTGTATAGAGGAAAGAAACTATACGTGTGTGTATATATATATATAATAATTTACAAATGGAAGTAACGTTGATTATCTGACTTTTTTTAGAAAATGCACTTGTTTAAATTGTGGAATAGACCTACTTATTTCTTGGCCTTTTTATGAATTGACTACGATTGTTTATCTCTGCACCCAAAGAAAAATAAAAAATGATTACTTCAAAATTATATAAAATTAGCTTATCATCAAAATGTTATTGCATCTAAATGCTTTTATCTTGTGAGTTAGACACTTGTCCAACTTCGAGCAAACAATAGAATGAGGCCAACAGACAAGTGAACAAAATATTCTAAAGCAGTAGTTAATTCACGACGGAACTTACGAAGTAGTAGCATCACTTCAAAGGCTTAATTTTCAATATTTTGCAGTAGGTGAAATGCGATGCCTGCAAACTCTATTATATACTCGTAGTCAAACAATCAAAACTCTATAAAATCAAGAATATTCTCATGTTCACATTATATACATTGGCTTCTACTTCCCACAAACACCTCAAGAGACTTGAGCTGAGAACATGTTTTTACAAATCCTCATGGACCTTCTCCATAGAGATTGGATTTTATCTCGGTCATTCTCATACTTAATTACCATCATTCTTCTGTTATGGAGTGTCCTAACTTTAGCAGAAACTGGTGGGCACGAGACCGATCGGCTCGCTTTGTTGGAATTTAAGGCTCGAATAGCCGATCCCGGCGGTTTTTTGAGCTCGTGGAATGATACTAGCCACTTCTGCGAGTGGTATGGCATCACGTGTGGTCGTAGACACCGAAGAGTCACCGTATTGGACCTACACTCCAAGCACCTCTCTGGGGTCGTGGCACCCCACATTGGTAACCTGAGCTTTTTGAGGGAAGTCTATCTGCAAAACAACAGTTTTCGCTCCGAAATTCCCCCGCATTTCGGCCGCTTGTTTCAGTTGCAGAATTTGTTCCTTCAGAACAATTTGTTGAGCGGACAAATCCCTTCAAATCTCTCCTATTGCCCTAATTTGCTCATTCTTCAGTTAGGTGAAAACATGCTCGAAGGAAACTTGCCTGCGGAACTCGGCTCCTTATTCAAGCTGCAAATACTTGTACTTCAAGTGAACAACTTGATGGGAGACATTCCGCTGTCATTTGGAAACTTATCCTCTCTTCAAGTCCTTGCAATAGCATCAAATAATCTCCGTGGTAAGATCCCAGAGACTCTCGGCCAGCTGAGAAATCTAAACATCCTCGCTCTTGGCGGGAATAAATTTGTCGGTATGATTCCTATCTCAATCTTCAATATATCTACCGTGACAATCCTAGATGTGATTGGAAACCAATTAGAGGGGGGTTTACCTAGCGATTTAGGCTTCAATCTTCCAAATCTCGAGAGAATCGGTTTGAGTAACAACCACCTCACTGGACCCATTCCTGAGTCAATATCCAATGCCTCGAATCTCAATCTCATCGACATCGTGTTCAACAACTTTAAAGGGAAAGTTCCTTCTTTCTCATTGATGAGAAGACTCCGCTGGTTTGATATTGGCGAAAACAACTTAGGAAGTGGCCAATATGCTGATCTAGACTTCCTCTGCTCTTTAACCAATTCCACAAACTTGGAAAAATTGATTATAGAGGTTAATGCTTTTCGAGGACCAATACCCCACTGTATCAGTAACCTCTCTATCACCCTTTCGGATTTTGGGTTAACTGACAACCATATTTCTGGAACCTTACCTTCTGGAATCGGAAATCTCATTAATTTGGAGACCCTATCAATGGATGGCAACAACATCTCAGGAAACATTCCTTCCGAGATTGGAAATCTAAACAAAATGAATATTATGGATCTTAGCCGAAATAATTTCTCGGGGCAGATACCAGAATCTATCGGGAATTTAAGGATGTTAACCAAATTGCTCTTGTTTGGCAATAATCTCCGTGGCTCGATACCATTGTCTCTAGGAAACTGCCAAAATCTACTTCTCTTGGACCTTTCGACCAATTACCTCAGCGGTAACATACCCACGGAAATTGTGGGCCTCTCATCTTTGTCGATTTATCTCAACTTGTCTCAAAATAATCTTACCGGCTCTTTTCCAGAAGAAGTTGGAAAATTGCAAAATCTCGGGGAATTACGTCTTAATGGGAACGGATTATCTCAACATATCCCAAGCAGTATCGGAAGTTGTATATCCATGGAACGCCTCTATATACAGGATAACTTTTTTGAAGGGTCCCTACCATCGACTATGAGTTCCATGAGAGGCCTTCAAATTTTGAATGTTTCTAATAATCAATTGTCCAGCCAAATCCCGGAATATCTAGAGTCACTGAATCTAACGAATTTGAGCCTATCTTACAACAATTTCGAGGGTGCATTGCCTACAGGAGGAGTTTTCAGAAGTGTCATTTCAACTTCAGTTGTTGGAAACAAGAAGCTTTGCGGGGGTCTGCCAGATTTTCAATTACCAAAATGCGATTACAAAGAGTCAAAACGGACGAGAATAAGCGGAACCGCAAAAATTCCGATATCCATAATCTTTGCTCTTGTAGGAGTAGCATGCATAATGTCTTTGTTGTACTTCTTTTGGTGTAGACACAATAAGAACGCATCATCTTTAAGTTCTTTTGAAGATGGGCTTTTGCATGTTTCTTATCATAGTCTATTGAAAGCAACGGGTGGATTCTCCTCCACCAATCTACTCGGCGTGGGAAGTTTTGGGTCTGTGTACAGAGGGTTTCTTAATCAGACTCAGTCGATCGTGGCCATCAAGATTCTCAATCTTACACGTCAAGGAGCTTCCAAAAGTTTCATAGCCGAGTGCGAGGCCTTGAGAAGAATTCGGCACCGTAATCTCGTGAAGGTACTCACGGCATGTTCTGGGTTTGATTTTAATGGAAATGATTTCAAGGCACTGGTCTATGAATTCATGTCGCATGGGAGCTTGGATGAATGGTTGCACCCAACTGCATCGCAATATATAGCAAGAAGCAAGTTGAGTCTACTTGAAAGAGTGAATATTGCAAATGATGTCGCTTGTGCAATAGATTATCTCCATCATAACTGTGAAACGCCAATAGTTCATTGTGACCTAAAGCCCAGCAATGTCCTTCTTGATGATGAAATGACTGGACATGTAGGCGATTTCGGGCTTGTCAGGTTCATTCCAGAAGCAACGCATAAGTTACTAGCCGATCAATCGAGCTCTATCGAGGTAAAAGGATCTTTTGGCTACGTAGCTCCAGGTAACTATGCAACAGTTAGGTCTTGCAATTTATTTTTTTTATATCGAACACGTAATTTGAAGACCGATCGTTCCACAAACGGGCATAAACATGAAACATCACCAAGACTATATTTCAATCTCATTTATTCACTATTTATCACTACACTCTATTGACTGTTGTAGAATACGGCTCGGGAAGTGCAGTATCCACACAAGGAGATGTGTACAGCTTCGGAATCCTTGTTTTGGAGATGTTCACAGGCAAGAGGCCGATCGATGACATGTTTGAAAATGGGCTGGACCTTCATCGGTTTGCAAAGGCAGCTTTGGCAAACCAAGTGGAAAAGGTAATCGATCCTATTCTGCTTCAGGAAATCGAGGAGTTGGAGGACAAACAGACAGTCGCTCCGGAGGGCAAGAACAAAAGCTGGTGTAGTATTCCGGAGTGTTTGGTTTCGATCATCGAAATAGGAGTCGCTTGCTCTTCTGAGTCTCCCAAGGAACGAATGGACATTGGCGAAGCATTGACTAAATTCCAAAAAATCAGGAAAAAACTTCTTGAGTTCGTCGTCATTGCCTAGTTCATGTAAAACCCGAACATCATATGGAGTCATGTGGTCTTCGTGATCATCGCTTTGTCCGGAAGTGGATGTGGAATTTTGCCATTCAAAGACAATTTGAATCTGGCAATAGCAAAACCACAAGTAATCGAGACTAGTGATTTAGCAATCCAAGGAAGATCAAAATAGTTTATGTTGTCTTAAGCAAAAGATCATTGTCCTTCCGCTGTGTGAAAAATAAATGTACTTTGTTTAGCTTTAGCCCAAAAGATAGAAATTGTAACCTGCTTGAGAGTTGTGTCAGGAAAATGTAATAAGAAAAATCACTAAAGCATTGCTCCTAATATAAGTACCACCAGATATGGACTTTCGTCTTCTCTGTTGCAAACTTGGCCTGTTTGATTTGGCTTTTATAAAACAAATTACTGAATGGCTTTCCTCTAAAAGTTTAATAATGTTTAAATTTTATAAGAGCTTATGAAAAGGAATATGCGATTTCATATATCAATATTTGCTCATCTTATATCAATGGATAAAGCAGGAATCGAGAGAATATTCCCTTTAGCAATCGCCACGTGGCAAACTTTACCTCTATGATTGTCCCATGGCAAGCCATGTGGCCCATATCAGTCCAATTAGCATTTGTTTTGTAATTTTCCATCCTCAAGCATCTATAATTTATTATTTTATATTTAAACTTAAGAATGGATAAAAAGCAAGTATATTATTCTCAAGTGTAATTTTCCAACCAAGGAAATGATTAAAAAAAATCTTGAAATACAGTTCGATTATCCTTCCCAAATATTTATCTTCTTTCCACTTTTGTCATTGATTTTATATTTGAAAGAAAATAGCAAATAAAGATAACGTGTCTTTAACTATATAATTAATCCTTTTAATCTGAAAATAATTCGTACATAGAAATATATCGTATTAAATGAATAACACTCATAATTTGATGTATAGTTTTTGTTAACTATGTGAATAAAATCATCAATTATCCATTTAACTTAAAAATAAATTAAAAATAATGTGAGTGATAACTTATTTTATTACTTGAATAAATTCTACTTAATATTCACTAAATTTATACATTCCACATAAATAATACATTTTGCAAATCATTTGAATTAGATTTCATTTAGTTTTGTTTAATTCTTTTAGAATGAACTTATTTTAAATATAGCGTATATCATTTGAAACAAATTTTTTTAGTAATAATGATAAATGACAAACGAAAATAATCTTTTCAAAAATTCATTTAATTTGAAAGTGAGATTCTTTCGGAAAAGAAATCGGAGTAGAAATAAGTTAATGAGCTTTGATTTATTAGTTTATGATTTGACAAGGAGTCAATTGCATTTATCCAAGTGAAATTTGATATAAATTGGACATACCTTTTAATTCCAAATTATGAATGAAAAATCTCAAAATTTGTCAATTCAAGTACGAGTATAAAGACTTCTTTCCTCTTTGTGAATGGGGGGCTCTCCATTTATTTCAATATCTCTAATAGACGAAGACATATAAGTTGAGCAATGTCCTTATTGACAATGAAAAGACTAGACATGTAGGCAATTTCGGGCTAGTCAAGTTCCTCCTAGAAGCAACGGGTAAGCTAACGACCGATCAATCAAGTTCTATCGCAGTAAAAGGATCTTTCGGCTGTGTAGCTCCAGGTAATGATACACAAGTTGGGTCTTTCGGTTTATTTTCTATATTGAAACCTAATTGGAGATCAATCCTTGGACAAAAAGGTATAGATATGAAACATCACCTATATTTCATCTCAATTATTCACCGTGCATCATTATGCGCCGTTGATTGTTGTAGAGTACGGCGTGGGAAGTGCGGTATCCCCAGAAGGAGATGCGTACAGCTTTGGAGTCCTCATTTTAGAGATGTTCACAGGCAAGAGACCAACCGATGACATGTTTGCAAATGGGATGGACCTTCATCGCTTCGTAAAGACCACTCTAGCAAACCGAGTGGAGAGGCGATTGATCCTTTTCTGCTTCAGGAAATCAAGGAGCCGGAGAAGAGACGAACAGTCGCTCCAGAGGGCAAGAACAAAAGCTAGTGTAGTATTTAGGAGTGTTTGTTTTCGATCTTCGATATAGGAGTCACTTGCTCTTCTAAGTCTCCAAGGGAATGAATGGACATCGGCGATGCATTGACTAAACTCCAAGGAATCAGAAAGAAACTTTGAGTTCGTTTTCATTGCTCAGTTGATGTCAAATCACAACTTCATATGGAGTCATGTTGTCTCAAGCAAAGTGCTGAGCACTGTCGTTCAGTTGTAAGAAAAATAAATGTATTTTGTTTTGCTTTAGCCCAAAAGAAAGAAATTTTCGCTTGCTTGAGATTTGCACCAAGAAAATGTGATAACATATGGTAATATGGAGTTTTGTCTTGCTTTCTGGCGAACTTGGCCGGTTTGTTTTTAAAACAAAAAAGAACTTACTAAGTGACTTTCCTCTAAAAGTTAAATGATGTTTAAATTTTATAAAAGGTTACAAAACGGAATATGTCATTACATGTATCAATATTAGGTCCTCTTATATCTATAGATAAAACAAGAATTGAGAGAACATTCATTTTTGTATTCGCTACTTGGCAAGCCATCTGGGATAATCATCCAATTAACATTAGCTTTGTAATTTGTCATCTTCAATCATATATCATTTATTATATATTAAATATAAAATTAAGAATGATAAAAAGCAAGTATATTATTCTTATGTGTATTCGTCCAATAAAATAAATAATAAGAATATATTGAAATACATTTTGATTATCCTTCACCAAATATATATCTTCTTTCAACTTATGTCATTGATTTTTTATTTGAAAAAAAAAGCAAATAACTATAAAATGTCTTGAAATATATAATTAATCCGTTTATTCTGAGATTAATTCAAAGGGAGAAATATTTTGTGTCAAATGAATGATGCTCATAATTTGAAGTATAGTTCTCGTTAACTATGCGAACAAAAGCATCAATTATCCATTTAACTCATAGTTAAATTGGAACAATGCGAATGATAACTTAGTTTATCAATTGAATAAATTCAACTTAATATGCACTAAATATAAACATTACATTTAAATAATAAAAATTGCAAATTATTTGAATTACATTTCATTTAGTTTTGTTTACTTCTTTTAAAATGAACTTATTTTAAATATGGCAATTATCATTTGAAGCAAATTTGTTTAGCAACAAATGAAAATGAAAAATGAAAATATTCTTTTCCAAAATCGAGTTAATTTGAACCTGCGATACATTTAGAAAAGAAATTGGAATAGAAATAAGTTCATGAGTTTTGATTTAGGGCTAATACCACGAAAAACCCTAAACTGGTACACTTGTGACAATTTTACTCCAAACTATTTTTCTGACCATAAAAAACCCCAAACTTGTACACTTGTGATAAATCTACCCTGAACTATTTTTTTGACCACCAAAAGCCCCAAACTGGTATACATGTGACAATTTTACTCCGAACTAAATTTTTAATATTATTTTTTATTTTTCGAATTTTTTTATTTACTTTTTACTTTTTTTTTTCCTTTCTCTTCAACCTCTGGCCGGTCGCCGGACTGGCGACCGGCTAGTGGCGGAAGCTGGCGAGGTCAGCTCGGCCGGCCACTGGCGAGGCTCGACCTCGCCGGCGTTGGGCGAGGTCGGCCTCGCCCTGCAACGGCGAGGTCGGCCTCGCCCAACGCCGGCGAGGTCGAGCCTCGCCAGCGGCCGGCGGGACCGAGCCCTCGCCAGATCTGGTGAGGCTCAACCTTGCCGTTGCAGGGTGAGGCCGACCTCGCCTCGCCGTTGCAGGGCGAGGTCAGCCTCGCCGGCGTTGGGCGAGGCCGACCTCGCCGGCTTTCGCCTCTGGCCGGTCGCCGGACGGACCGGCCAGAGGTTGAAGAGAAAGGAAAAAAAAGTAAAGAAAAAATAAAAAAATTAATAAAAAATTAGTTCGGAGTAAAATTGTCACATGTATACTAGTTTGGGGTTTTTGGTGGTCAAAAAAATAGTTCGGGGTAGATTTGTCACAAGTGTACCAGTTTGGGATTTTTTATGGTTAAAAAAATAGTTTGGGGTAAAATTGTCACAAATGTACCAGTTTAGGGTTTTTCGTGGTATTAACTCTTTGATTTATTAGTTTCTTGTTTGACAAGGAGTCAATTACATTTATCCAAGTGAAATTTGAAATAAATTGGACATACCTTTTAATTCCAAATTATGAATGTAAAATCTTAAATTTGTTAATTCAAGTAGGAGGTAAGACTCTTTTCCTCTTTATGAATGGAGGGCTATCCATTTATTTAAATACCTCGGATAGACGAAGACATACCGAAAATTTATGGAATTGTTATTTCTTGGATACGAAATACTTTTTAGGAATGCAAAACTCTACTGGATTCAAGGTCGTCATGACCCTTAGAATTCAAAACTTTTCTATGATTGATTTGAGATTAATGAATTTAACGGACACTGACGGAGGGTAAATTTATCACAAATGTACCAGTTTGGAGTTTTTAGTGGTTAAAAAATTAGTTTGGGATAAAATTGTCACAGGTATACTAATTTGGAGTTTTTGATGGTAAAAAAATTAGTTCGGAGTAAAATTATCACAAGTGTACTAGTTTAGGATTTTTCGCGGTGAAATTGTCAATCTCAAATAAATTTTCATGTGTGGAAATTATCAAATTATGCAAAAAAAATTTATAAAAAAGAAATGTTTTTAAACAGGTCAATCTGTTGACCCCAGCAGCCGCTGACCAAGTTCCTCATCTCCTCCCTTCCGTCCGGTGATAGCTGCTCAATCTGAGAGGCAGAGAGAGAGAGAGCGAAGGCGAGCTCCGATGGAGTCAACCATGTCCAAGGCTCTCTCCCTATCCGCTACCTCCTCCCTCAACCCGTTCGTCTTCCGCCTCCACCGCTACGTCGCCGGGTCGCTGCACAGCCGCCGGTGCCTCCCCTCGCGGCTCATCGCCCGCCGGCTCCCCTGCTGCTT